TGTTGATCTTAAGTTTGTGAATTAAGTGTCTAGATATTCCCTGTTCGTTTAGATCTGTGGGGAATTGTGATTAACCTGTGTTTTGATATTTTGATTATTAATGTCAGATAAATGATTGATGTCATTCTGATAATTTGTAATAGAGATCAAATAAACATATTTATTAATACTCTATAATTGGTGACCCCGAAACGAGATGTCTGGCCTGATATAGATAGAGATACCCGAAACTGGTCACGTTCTTGTATACCTTGCCAAAAATCGAAAGTTACACGACATGTTTTGAGCCCCAAAGCTTCTTTCGAAATTCCAGAATCTCGCTTCGAACATGTCAACATAGATATAATTGGTCCTTTACCACCATCCAACGGTTTTTCCTATTGTCTCACGTGTATAGATAGATATACCAGATGGCCGGAAGTTTTTCCCATTGAAGATATCACTGCTGAAACCATTGCGAAAACTTTCTATACTGGAATTACTGGATGGATCTCTAGGTTTGGAATTCCTTTGCGAGTAACCACGGATCAAGGCCGACAGTTCGAATCGAATCTTTTCAAAGAATTCTCGAAACTTTTGGGAATCCACCATTGCAGGACTACCCCATATCATCCATGTGCCAATGGTATGATAGAAAGATTTCATCGAACTTTGAAAGCAGCTATCAAATGTCAAGCACCAGAAAAATGGTCAGAAGCACTACCAACAATTTTACTAGGTTTTGAGAACAAATCTGAAGAAGGATTAGGGTACCTCCAGTGCTGAATTGATATATATGGTTCGAATTTGAGAATCCCAGGAGACATGCTACTGAGAAAATCAGAACATGGAAGTCCACAAGATTTGTTAAGAAACCTAACAGATATCATGGACTCTCTGAAACCAAGAGATGCGTCTGATCACAGCCGTAGAAATATTTTTGTCTTCAAAGAACTAGAAACTTGTTCTCATGTTTTTGTAAGAATTGATTCGGTTAAAAAACCCCTGGAGTATCCTTATAGTGGTCCACATCGAGTCATAAACAGAACTGTTAAGTTTTTTACATTGTTAATAAATGGAAAAGAGAAAAATATTTCCATCGACAGGATCAAACCAGCTCTCATAGAAAATGATGAAGTTGCTAATATGCCTGCAGAAGACATCACACCAAAGCCATGTATACGTTCCGAAATTGATGGTTACCCACACAGAACTCGGTCTGGCAGCAAAGTCAAATTTCGTTTGACCTGAGGGGGAAGTAGTGTGGGGAATTGTGATTACCCTGTGTTTTGATATTTTGATTATTAATGTCAGATAAATAATTAATGTCATTCTGATGATTTGTAATAGAGATCAAATAATAGTTATTTATGTATTAAGGGAATTATGAGGGCCTTAATTACCGATGGCAAAGTTTGCGTCCCGAGGGCCTCTGGCCCGAGGGACAGCAATTGCCTGAGGTTATTGAGGCTCAGTAATTCCCGTGATACATAGATAATTTTATTTCTGTCTGATTTCATTCATTAGATACCTTCCCGATTGGAAGTTAGACATGTTTTTCCGTATAGTTTCAATGTCATCAGAACGTCAGATGATGATCTTGACTACCGCGAATAGGAGATTCCTTATTGCTACGTTATTGCGTGGTTGTTGCTATGCATTTCTTATTTAATTTTAGCTAGAGGGAATTATAGCATCTATAACATCCCAAGGGAGTTATGACCCTCATTATAGATATCCTAACTATGACGATATAAGCTTATAATGTCACTGTCAGAAATAAACATATTTATTAATTCACTATAGATCTTATGACTATTACTATATCACATTGACTTGTATATTAGCTTTTGCTTGATAAATGAATAAATGAGAGAAATAACTTCGAGCTTTTTGTATTTATTTAATAGTAAAACTAGCCTGCCTCCGGTTTTTAACAAGTCAGTGCTAAATTTCAATGAAAACACCAGAAATTGTTCGCCGTCACTAGATGCACTCAATAAGGGCGAAGGTTTAACAACTTCCAGACTACTTCCATGAGAGCCCTCTGCCGGTCTCCGGCTCCCATTGGGGAGCGGCCTCCCACCTCCCACTCGGTAATACAATGCTGCGACGCTAATTATTATCGGACCGCTCCCGGCAACGTATACAGTGTACATACAAGGTGTGTCGAAGAATGGTCCCAGGGGCCTTCATAATTTAATTTCGATATAAAAGGTTTCTATACAGGGTGTAATTTAATTAATGGCTGAAAATATAGGATATGGTTTCTTAGCTCATTTAAAAAAAAAAGTTCATATGAATGTATTCCATAAATATCTTAACTTTCGAACTATAAGGTGTTAACATTTCATTTTCTCTTTATTGATTGAAGAAACTTTCACAATGTAAAAAACTGTCACGTTTATGAATACTTGTCAAAATAAGACCGCAACGTAATCGATCAAATGTTATTATTTTAAATTCAAAATAGGACAATTAGCCTACTAGTTCAAAATGATTTTGTTATGCCACAAATGCATAAATATTGTCTTTATTTTATTCACGAGAAAACGGTTCGAAGAACGAAAAAAAGTGAGGAGGTGATATCGTTGCAGCAAAAATGAAGATTTCAAAAATGATTTTCATTCTCGAAAAAATCAGGGCCGTACAATATTTTTTTCAAAAATACTCCAGGATACATCCCTTACGTACGCCAATGGTTGAGATATCGAAAAATCTTCTGCATCGAAAAATGTCTATTTTTTTCTTAAAATATTAACACCCTATAGGTCGAAACTTAAGAGGTTCAGGGCATATTATGTTCATGTCAACTTTTCTTCTCAAAATGAGCTAAGGAACTATCCTCCATTTTCAGTCATTAATTGAATTACACCCTGTATATACAGGGTGTAACATATTTGAGTGACGTATTCCTGTGACAATTTTAAGAAAAAAAAATCTTTATAAACCTGTGTCCTGAATTGCTTCGTTTCGGAGATACAGGGTGTTGCAATCATTGAATTTCTTCGTTCGCTTTTTGTAAATAACTTTCGCGAAAAATTTGCAGAAAATTTGGTACTCGATGTTTTTTTGATGTGACAAATCATAATTTCATAATAATTTTCATGTAACATCTACAGGGCGCTGCGTACGCTGTCATTATTTATTTCAATTTGCCCTAACAGATTTGACAGTTTACTTTTGGTACTTTTTATAAAAAAACTGTTACCTTCGAAATCTGCACTATAGTTATGATAGGGTTTTCTTGTCCTAGAGAGTCTCAGTTTCAATTTACCGATCATCGAATGAAAGTCACAAGAAAGAGAAGAGATGTTACTTATTATTACTCTCACACCTTTTCCAAGGAAAAAAGGTATTCCTCAACAACGCTGGAGGTGATCGTTTTCAAGATATTTACAAATTTCTATATAGATGCATGTTACACAGCTCCTAGGTCGCTAAGTATAATTGCTGAGAACATTATGAAGTATGTGGTAAGTCTCGCCAAAATAAACTATTTTTTTCTGTGACAGAAGGAAGGACGAATCAATATTGAGAAGATATTACATTATTTCGAAATCTGAAAATTATCGACGTGAAATTTCAAGTTTTTAACAGTAGGGACACCTGCGTTTTATAGACATCTTTATCATTCTTTCGAAGTTATCAAATATCTGATGTCACTTCTGTCAGTTCAATTCTGTGATTTGATTTTGAAAAATTGCGAATTCAGTAGTTGTTTAGTAATACACGAAACCGCAAAGTCGAATGGAAGATAAAAGGACTTGCAGTTCTTTCTCGGAGACGGTATTATTGACTCATTTTTCGGAACTATAGCACAACAAAAGCCATTAACAGAGTATATATATGTGATATATATCCGGGAAAAAAGTACTCACTTTTTTCCCACGGGAAAAAAGTAATTTATGAAAAGTGACATTTTATAACCTGCCAACAGAGATGAAATGCCAAACTTTTTTCCCGTCACAGAAAAAAATGTTTTTTTCCCAAAATTGACTCACGAATACCTCACTCGAATATATTGACGTACTTATGTTACACCCTGTATACAGTAAATTTGCTCACCAACATTTCAATATTCACTTTGAAAATAGTATTATCCCATGATGACATCACTTAGCTTATTTTTACATACCTAAATACTTCGGTTGCGATGAAAAATTGAATTTTCTCAGTCATGATATTTTGTTCCATCAAAAATAGCTCTTGAAGTTGAATGGAAATCATTGCCTAACTTATAATCTCCAAACGTTCCAAAAAAATCCAATAGGTATACCAACCTCCTCTCCTATATTCTTCCTTAGGTACGCACAATGTTCTTCGAATATTATAGGGATTCCCTTACGTGCGCTCCAGGCGATCAAAAAATACTTCACTGTCTATAGGACCTAAAGTTGGAGTTTAACTCCTAGGAATCAGAAATGAGGTAGCAGGATAAGCTGTCAATGAGGGTTTTACTGAAATTCGAAATTGTGTGTGAAATCGGGAGGTAGTAAGAGTTGAAAAAATGCATTCCAGCTATATATATATTGCATGATTCTATAGTTTGAGGTTTTGATGCCAAATCATGCAATTCTAGAAGAAGAAACACTTGTAGAACCCACATAGAACGAGTAGTTTTCGATTGAAATCGATTTCAACATGATATTGCGTGACACAATACCGAGCTATACCTATACAAATAGTCAATGTTGAAAAGCAATTAACTATTTGATTATTTCGAATCATTTCAATGGTCATTCACAAATGAAAACACAATAAAAGTTTCTCGGCTCATTTTTGAATTTCTGCCAAAGCAATTACAAACAAACTGTGAACGCAGTGAAAAATTGGAATCATCTGATTGTGTCCAAACCAGAAACAAACTGTTTTATAAAAAATATGTTTCTAGAAAAAACGACAATGGTTAATTGTTTCACGATGCATTGAAAATATGAACAATAAATAATTATAACAATCGATCAATTTTCGAACTGGTATTCCGTTCATTATCAACCATTTTTACAGCACAGTGAATTATTTCAAGGAACCACACCCAAACAACAAATTCAACTATACCTGTACGTTCAATACAAGATTATTCAAGGTTGCTTCCTGGGTTGACTTTTTTTTATAAAATTTCAAGTTACCAAAGTGGTTTGTTTCGAGTCGCTATAAAAGCTGAAACCCGACAGAATTGTCATCATACAGTTTTTCGATTGATCGAAATAGGTATACCTCAAACTAACAACATGCAAGTAAGTTAATCAGTTTGGTTCCTTAGTCTTTGTTGATCTGTTTGTCCATTTGAATTGAATTATTTTTTTCTTTGGTGGGCTAGATGAATCCTTAAGTCACAACAAGAAATAACTGAAGCATATTTCAATGTTGGTGATACCAGGTGATACATAAAATATTTGATTCGTAGCTATAAATTTTGATGTGAGAGCAAAACACTTTCTCTATTTTATTCCGTAGTAGGTAGGTACTGTTGAAAAAAAATCCCCCGATTTAAAAATTGTAATTCCGATATTTCATTCGATCAAAATAGTACAACAATCAACAGTTTGTAGAGAAATGAAGAAATACTTTGTGTCACCCCGACGACAAATATAAATAACATATACGTGAGGATAATGATTATGGTATAAATTCATTTAAATTTAGCGAAAAGCAATGTTTATTTGTCGAGAAGGTTTTTCTGTTGCCTGACAGAAAAACAATGTACTTATTTTGTATTGAGTAAAACTTACATTGTGTGAATCAATTTCATTCATTGATTAAATATTTTTTTGTCAACTTTGTTTGGCATTTCATCTCTGTTATAAAATGTCACTTTTCATGAATTACTTTTTTCACGTGGGTCAATAATACCGTCTCCGAGAAAGAACTGCAAGTCCTTTTATCTTCCATTCGACTTCGCGGTTACGTATATTACTAAACAACCACAAAATTCGCAATTTTTTGAAATCAAATCACAGAATCAGACTGACAGAAGTGACATCAGTTATTTGATTACTTCAGAAGATTGTTAAAGATGCCAACGCAGGTGTCCCTACTGTTAAAAACTTAAAATTTCACGTCAATAATTTTCAGATTTCAAAATTGATTCGTCCTTTTTTCTGTCACAAAAAAAAAAGTGTATTATACACGGGAAAAAAGTAGTAGATTTTAGCTCACAACCTGGAGCTAAAATCTACTACTTTTTTCCCTTGTATAATAAATAACTATTTACATTCCAGGCCACATTGTTCGCACTTTTCGCTCTAGTGGCAGTCTCCGCCAGCAGTGTCGTCCTGCCCCAGACCTACAGTTTGGGCTACGCCGCCCCTTATGCCACCCCATATGCCGCCCTCGGGTATTCCGCTCCCTGGTCCGCCCCACTCGCCTACGCCGCTACCCCGCTAGTATACTCCGCCCCTGCAGTACAATCCGGGTAAGCAAAAAGAATTGAACATTTTATAAAATTGTGCAGACACTGCGGGGAAACAAAAAAAAAGGAAATGTAATGAGGCGAAGTTGAATAGTAGATTTTTCGTCTTTTTTCAAGGGAATAGATTATTTGCAGATGTTGAAAATAATTAATTTCAACATACTTCGTATCACTTATAGTTTCCTAGATAATAAAATTGTGCATGGTGATCAAATATGAAACAACCTGGGAATATAGATCTTTCACCATGTCGAACAACACTGGAGCATGAAATACTGGAAATTTTTTGACGTTCATATAGGTAGAATGACATTTACATTTAACTTCAGATTACGTCGAATTCATTCTTTATGTTGATAAGTTTCTTGTAAGAAAATATACTTCTACCAACTTTGGCTAGATGAATTTGTGAAAAACTGAGAGATTGAGCTAGTATCGAGTTATTTTTTATTATTTCATTTAACTGAAGTCGTCGTATTTTATTTCACCTACGGCCACTATAGAAAGTAGGCAAGAACACACCAGATACTGCCTCAGTAAGCTCCCTTAAAATACTCGTGTTTTCGAAAAAATGTCTGGTAATAATCGAGGCTCTCGTGGTATTATAAGTGAAAACTATTTTAGTCGCTAGTCACTTTTTTCTGAAAATTCCAGACAAAATCTGAGAATAGACAATATTGTCAATGTAACAGTGGAATATATCTGATGTTTCTGATGATAGTTATCAGTGTTATGACCTCTACAATCAATCATTCACTTGTGGCATAGATTAAGAAGATTAATTAAGTCGAAAAAACAGTTTCTCATAACATCAGTCAAAGCGTAGGGTACAGAGATTTTTCTGATGATGTATATTTACAGAACAGTTTCTGATTCTGGAGGAGGGTTGGGGTTCCACAAATTATCAAAAATAGAATTCAGCCGTTTCTGAAATTATACAAAAAACACATAGGTTGTCAATTGGATATTGAAATATGTTTTTCCACTAAAGACATTTTTTGAAATGAGTCATGCGATTGGAATTTATAGGAGTATTATGAGTGATCCGGTCTCAGGTTGATTATACTGTATAAACAATAAATTTCAAGTCACATTATCATTCAATTGAATTCAATTCAAAATATGCTTTATTGTCATAAGTAAAAACACACTTGTTGACAAAGCTTGTTAAATTACATGAAAATAAATAACACAAAGTACGACAATAGTACGACAAATAACAAACAACATTCAAAAGCTCGTATAGAGCTATGTCTACCTAGTTAAAAATATATTAACTTCATTTCAAATTCAAAAAAGTTATACCTATTCAGTAAATCAAAACTCCATTGAAAAATATTCATCCAGGCTATATAGAGAGTGGAGTTTGGACGAGTAGTGCTTTGACTTTAGTGCGGAACTTTTTATCACATGATATTTCTTTGATCTTGCTTTCATAAGTAAATACACTGAATTGCAAAAATATGTATTTTTACCTATGTGCCAAATATAAGTTCCCCATCCCAGAAGAATATTTTTGACAAACCATGTCTGTCAAAAAGTCAGAATAACATCATCTTCGATTAATTATTGGACTTTCTACACTTCATTGCAAATTCGGAATTCATTTTATCTATACAATTCCTTCGAATTTGATAGATATCTCTTCAAATATGCAAAATCTTGTATTGTTGTTTCCCGATGTGTTTTCCTACGAAATTACCTCAAGAATAGACTGAAAAAGGTCCTATGATTCCTAATTTTTTTCCGTGAAAAGATTCTACGAAAAAAATCGTGTAACAATCATAAGCGATTTCTTTATTTTCAGATACGTAGCCGCTACTAGAGGATCAGTCCATACTGCACCACTCCCAGAAGGACCTCATGCATTCAGCCACCACCTTAACACTGCCCCCGCCCCTGGAACCCTCTAAACCAATTACAAATTTGAAAATAACGACCATTTAAATAAATATCAAAAACGATTCCATTATGTTTTACTGAAATACCAATCAACAGACAACAGATCAGAAAGAGAAATGAAAAAGAAAAAAATAAAGTTATATCTGGATATTTTGAAAACCCACAATTTCAGAATCACACTTGTGGTGAATGAAAAGTGATGTATCTTGTTTTTCCTTTCATTCATTGAAAGTGACTAGATTGTCACTATTTTCATGTATACAGGGTATTCCTAACTGCAGGTGGTGATTCGTTAGGTCATTTCAGGATGAAAAGTTCCTATTAACATATGTCCGGAGTTGCTTCGTTTCTGAGATACAGGTCATTGAAATTAAAGAAAAAAAACCGGTATTATTATAAAATATCATGAATATCCTAGAACCGATTTGGTTGAAATTTGGTACTTTTATTTCAACTAATAAGGCGCTTATTGAGCCCTATTTAGATTGAAATTATTGGGGCCAGTGGCGTATCAGTGGGCACCACAGCCAACAATATTGTGAAAAAAAAGTACGCCACTGACTTCTTTTGGTAAATTCTTATTGTTTTTATATTGAGCAACTCAAAATTCAACTTTTTGGTCTCCTGCATTTTGTTCATGTCCAGCTTCGTTTTCGAGAAAAAAAATCAAAGCCACTGTATTGCATATCATGAACACCTGCATTGGAGAAATGAGTTTTTCTTTATTTCCGCCAAAAATTTAATTGACATTTGATATGCTGAAATTTTTAAAAATTTGACAAATAAAAGTACCAAATTTCAACCAAATCGGTTCCAGAATATTCATGATATTTTATAATTATTATCGTTTGTTTTCTTTAATTTCAACAATCTGTATCTCAGAAACAAAGCAACTACGGACATATGTTCATAGGAACTTTTCTTCTTGAAATGACCCAACAAATCACCCCCTGTAGTTAGGAACCGTAGTTAGGCAACACCCTGTATAAGTGGTCTTTTCTAAGGCGAAAACACAAAATTGATCTTGTTTTTCTGTGTTTGATACATGAATCAGGTACTTTGTATGTCGTCAATTTTATTACTGTATCCTGATATCACAATGACGCCATTGTGTTATTATTTCAAAAAATCTCATCGCTCACGGAACGTCAAATCTCAAGCAATGACAGCTCTGCCTAATAGATGAATATTACTTGGGAGGAAATCAGATGGCTACAAGACGAAGAAATCAAAAATGCCGCTGTTATCTGTTACAGCCATAAAAAATTTCAATAAAGTTAGTGTATAACTCGCACAGAATGCTAATTTCCCACAATTCGCCTACGGCTCATGCTGCAAACTTTATTCTCGTATCACTATCATTCCGAGCTCGTTAAACAGTATACTATTTCCACACCATTCAAAATCATGAACCACCCTGTATTCGTTCAAATTGAATATCAGTAGATAGTAAATCAAAAGCTAAAAATAGGGACATGAAAGCCGTTTCGCCCGATAATGAATAGTTTCGACAAAAAAAAACCTCAAGTTCAAAAATCTCGATTTTGAACTCGCTATATCTCTGTTATCATTCCCGCTAGACACCAAGTGTGATGCATTGATGAAAGCAGCTCTTCAGGAAGAATCTTAAAATGCAAGGAAATACAGGGTTTCCCATTTGAAAATCAAGAATTGATGCCCGTTACGCTTCAAGATTTCAACTTTGGAACATGATAATTGCAGAAAAATGCCCCCCGCCCCCCGCCCCCCCCGTCAAACAGAAATCGACCTGTCCGAGCGTTTCTCAAGTTTTCCAAGGACATCGGAGATTTTAGGAGGGGTAACAAGTTCTAGCTGGGACACACTGTATGTATATAAATTATATTCATTCTGTTACTTCTTAATCGCCAATATACCCAAAAAGTAATTACTGAAACTGAAAAGTAATTACTGCATCTGAATGTTCATACATTTCGGTATTCACTGTAAATTTCTATCTACCTTATCCGATGAAAAGAAAATTCCCATGGAGATGAAAACTAAAGCCGAAGGCGTTCCGTGAAAATAAACATGACCAAAACCGGAGCGGAAAGGAGGTAAGAACTCGAAAAATTTCATTATCATCATTTCATAATTAACTCGAGAATTGATTACCAAGCTAATTCGTGCACACAGCACGGCATGAAGAATTTAATCAACTGGAAATTTACTCATTATCATGGTTACTCTACCGTTCCAGAAAATTATAGTACCTACCTTACATATTACACGGCAGCTACAGCAGAAGAAAAAGGTAAAATGTCGAGTTAATGCACTAATAAGTTTGGAAAACATAAAACATGGATGCTTTTTCAGAGAATATCGCTCCAAGAACAAAGGAAAAATTCTCATATATGCTCAATTTCAGTCTGGAGTCTTATTATACTAAGGTTAAACGAAAATGTTACTCGTCTGTGACACTTTTTGATGGCCTAGTATAGTTATTACACCAAATTATTCTTTTTTTTTATTGATTCGGCCGTTACTTGATGAAAATCCATGGCAAATGAAAAAACTTCACAAACGATAAGATTGAGGAATTTGATATTTAATTTTTTTATTTTATTTTTATTTTTATAGGTTACAGGCTACTCAACAGGTCGAATGACCCAATTACAGAGAAGCACAAAATATACTAATCATCAGTTAACAATCGAAGGTTATGAAAAGTTAAAGTTTATATAAGTGAGATTGATTACTACAGTGGAATATAAAGAACAGAAAAATAGGAAAATGTGAATTTCAGTTGGCTATTTGAAGAGGAGTCGTTACAATTGAGGTTACAATACCTGATTATGTGAAAAGAAGTCAAGAGTGAATAATTTGTCTCAGTTTGGTTTTAAACCTGAATATTTTCGTGGTGAAAATATCTACAAGAGAATTGTTTCCTATCGCATTATAAGAATTTATGCACCAATGTAAGGGAGAATTCAGTAGAGAGTTAGTAGAGCTAGGTCCAGTTGTGAAGAGATGTCTGTTTCTCACGGCATATGGAGTACAGTTCAAAGTGAGAGAATTGGTGCAAAATTCAGAATCAATTAGATTGTTGACCACTTTGTTAATGAAAAGAATGTCGAAAAATTTTCTCCTCAGTTGAAGGTTTTCAATTTTGTAGTGTTCAACATTAGCATTGTATGAGGAGAAAATTTTTCCATGGTTAAAACGAAAATTCAGGTGTCGGACAAATTTTCTCTGAACATTTTCAATTCTATTGGAGTGATTATTATAAAAGGGATTCCAGAGGGAGAACATTTTTCCATGGTTAAAACGAAAATTCAGGTGTCGGACAAATTTTCTCTGAACATTTTCAATTCTATTGGAGTGATTATTATAAAAGGGATTCCAGATGACAGATGCATACTCCAGGGAGGATCTCACAAGGGAGTTGTACAACGATTTAACAGCATCTGGGTCTCGCCCTCATAATAAACCCAAGATTTCTTAGACAAAGGTTAATTTAGTATCTAGGTGAACACCTAAGTCTTTGATGACATCACAATCTCCCAGAACCTCACCGCACAGTACGAGATTGGAGGTGGGAGGATGATTATTACGGGTAAACAGGATCTTGTGACATTTACCAACGTTCAATTGAAGTTTGTTAACTGCACAATACTCTGTGAACCTATCAAGGTCCAATTGAAAGCATTGGTAGTCCTCCTGAGTGGTTATCGATTGATACACTTTCAGATCGTCAGCAGAAAGTTTGAATTTGGTCCATTTGAAACACTGATCAACATCGTTCAAAAAAATTGAGAACAGTAGGGGTCCCAGGTGAGAGATATTTCATTAATACCTACTTGATTGTTCTCATCTTAATTACTATTATTACTACCACCGCAAATCGTAAAAAAACTGCCATAATTAATAAACACCATAAATTCCATTTCTTTACTTGCCATTCATCCACTCACTCTTGATTGAGAAAAAATTGAAATAAAGTTCAATTTCCTAAATGTAAATGGTCCTGCTGAAGGACCTCAACAGTACAGGTACTAGGTTGTATCCTCCCAGCAGAATCATCACTTGAAAAAAAAATTATTCAACTTTAACTTATACATTAAACTTAATTATGCAATTATGTGAAAATAAATTATATGTATGGGGTGTAGGAATAAATTTTGATTTGATTTGATTTGATAAGATTTCCACAAAATTCTCAAACACACGACATGTTTCGCTAACACAGTAGCTTCGTCAACCAACCTTGGCTTGCTTAACTTTTATATATATCCTACTTTCCCAACTTGAAGGATAGTTACCTGTGGACTGGTTCGATAATCCTTCATTTTTGGAAATTAGGCACAATATCTACATTAAAATACAGTGTACCGGATTATATTGAAAGGGTTGATAGCAAATACGTATTATTACCTACTAAGGAAACAAATTCAACATTGGTGATCTATTGAGGTCTAATTGATCGTTGAGTAAAATGTAAAAATTTCTGAGTTTGATGATTTCTGATGATTCAAAATGATTGAGTTTATTCCTTTATTTTCTACGTGTAGAATTTCGAAATTATAATCAGAACTATGGTTTTCTTCTAATATATGGTTGGTGTTGGTTGAATTTGTTTTCTTCTCATGTTCATGAATGCGCTGATTGAACGTACGACCTGTCTGACCGATATATACCTTAGGAAAAGATCCACAGTTGAGTTTGTATACCCCTGATTTTTCGAATTTCGAAGTTTTCTCTTTATTATTTTTTATATAAAAGTTAAGCAAGCCAAGGTTGGTTTAGTTCATTGTACTAGTATATAAAGAAAGAATTTGCTGTCATATTCGAGAAAAAACCCTTTCCCTAGATTTTCAAAATCAGCGTTTCACTCGATGCAGTAGGCTCATACGGGTCGAAAAATATTTTTTTCCTGATGGCACTAAGAATCCCAAAAAAATCATAGACACTAAGTCAGACCCAAAAGGAAAGAATTTGATGTCAGATTCAAGAAAAAACCCTTTCCCTAGATTTTCAAAATCAGCGGTTCACGCGATGCAGTGGGCTCATACGGGTCGAAAAATAATTTTTTCCTGAT